GCTCGTCGGGGGAAGAGGAGGGCTTTACACCGTTACACAGACACCCCCTCCCCTGCCCGGGTTATTTTCAAGCTGCTGGAAGCAAGGGTTTAAGAATCCGTGCCAGAATTCTCCCAAAATGTGCTGTTCTCCCCGGGCCGAGGCAGGTGCCGGGCGGGCAGCGGGGAGGCAAACGCGCGTGCCCCCGCCGTCCGGGGCACCCTGCTCTCCCCGACACCCCGCCGCCCTCGGGGACACTCGAGTTTTTACACCGAAAACCCAGGGATGGCAGGGAGATGCCAGCGCTTACGCTGAAATAGGGTGTTGAGCCTTAACGCCTCCGTACGCAGCCACTGACATTTCTGCTTTAACGGGGGACAAGCTGCTGAGAACATTTTTCAGGACTGTGCTTCTTTATGAATTAACAATTCAGAGCGGCAACCAGGGACACTCCGTTCCCTACCCCCGCTGGAAACTTGAAGACACTGCTCGGTTTGTTGTTTGCTGGGTATTTTTTTTTCTGCGTGGTGCAGAAACACCACTTCTAGCAAACTTCTGCTCTGGCTTTGATTCCCTCCATGCAAGACATCTTACAGAGATGCATTAAAAAATAAAAAAAAATAAATAAAGGAAATCATGTCACAAAGTCCACAGGGCTTCAAACCAAGCAAGGAGAGAGACCATCCCTGTAACTCACTCTACCGTCACTACAGGCCTGCACACTTCACTGCTGCGTCGGAAGTGGCACGGGTTTAAAAGCTAGACTTCGGGGGGAAAAAAAGGTGTGTACAGCAGCAGTGAAAGAAAATGATCATTTCAGAGAGCGGTAAGATACGGGCAGCTTGCATCAAGGGCACTGAGACGTTATCACACTGTGCCGGTCAACCAGATACGGTGGTAGATAGCCGGGGCTCGAGCTGGAGCTGCCTATCTGCCGTTACACCCGGCTACAGCCTCACCAATCCCTGGCCTTTTGCTTTTCACTTGAAAAGTTAAGTCACATCCTGGACTATTTTTGCATCGTGTTGGCTTAGAGCTCACAAATCTGAATGCACTCAGCCCTCAGAGAGTGACAAATGTTATTCTCGGTCCTCCCCCACAATTTCAGGCAGTAAAGAATTAGATGCGGCAGAGTGTACAGTATTTTAATCTATTGATTTGTATCTGCTGTGTCCGAAAAACTCGTTAGAGGAGCCTTAAAAGTGTGAAGTGGTTGAGTGCTCAGTTCCCTCCCGAAAAGACGAATTCTCTCAACAGCCGCTCACCTCTGCCACGTCCTGGGGTGTGCTACCTTGTGTTATTCATACCGAGACCTGCATTTAAAACAGATATCTGAAGCATTTGACTACAGACAGCTCGAGTGTGTGTGTGTGTACAAGCTGGATTGTTTTTTGTCCCGGCTGAGCAAACAAAATCTATCCCACTCTCCATAGCTACCCCTGGAATGCCCAAGCCTCATGGCAGCCGCTTACAACACAGCGATTCGGAAAGAGGGAGGGAAGAAAGTTTATCAAAAAATCTTAATTCCTAACATTGAAATATGTAGGATTATTTTTTTTTTTCCTGCGTGAAATTTTAAATTCAGCCATCTGAACAGGTGTCAGAAACAGTGGGTCCATTTAGCTCCTCTGATGATCGGAGTAATAAATGTAGAGGATTTCCTTTCAATGCAGCACATGCTGAAATGACACCAATGTAGTTCTGGCATCTGAGCAGATAATTCTGATATATGCATCATTTCCTCCCTAAATCCAGGAAGCAGCTAC